TCGCGGTGAGACGCAAAAGGAAGCGGGGCCTCTGTAAACAACATTGCGCATTATATTACTTTTTATTTCCCCCTTTTATTTTTCCGACGAAAAATAAAAAGTTTCCTTATTCATTTTTTTCACGTGCGCCCTGACCCCGCGGGCCCCGGGCCAGCAGGCCGAGCTGTGCGTGCCGACGTACTTTACCGTCCTTGGGCCGCCGCTGCGCCGCTGCGCGCTGCGTCCCGCGTCCCGTCCCGCCCGCCGCCCGCGAGGTACACTGCACCGCCGCGAGTAGCGAGCCCAACAAATTATGCAAACAAATCGGCTGGGCTTGGCTCGCGCGCTGAGCTGGCTCGCGGTGGTGTGGGCCGGGGCTGGCCGGGGCTGGCGGGGGACGTCATTGCTGAGGTGTGTTTGAAGTGGCCGCCAGTGCGTGTGTGTCTGTGTTTGTTTGTACAAGACACCGCCCGGGCCAGGCTGACGAGATTGCAGGGGGGCGGCGATGTATGGATTGGGGTGACTCGACGGCTCGGCGGTGTCGCCGGCCCGTCATGCCCGAGGGGCGGCTGGCTGGGCCGCCCTAATGGCTGCACTACAGGTAGTAGTGCTTTCTCCACGGCCCGCCCGGCCGAGGGCCGAGCAGCTCGCGGGGGGCTGCTCGCTCGGGGGGCTGCTCGCTCGGGGGGCTGCTCGCTCGGGGGGCCGCCTTTCGGTATGAGGTGAGGCGCCCCCTCTGGGCTCGTGCTGGCTGACCAAACGGAAGCGACTCCGCGGCCTGCCGGCGCCTCGGCGCCTCGATGGGAAGAGCCTGGCGTTACGTCACCTGCTGGCGGAGGATGTGTCGGCTCGGGCGGGCGGCCCGACCGACAGAGGCTCCAGGAGGAGGAAGCGCCGGGGCGCCGCCCGGGACGGGGACGGGTCGTCGAGCCGCCACACTGTGACATTTCAGTGGCTGCTCGTCCGGAAAGGTGACCCGGCGGCGGCATGGTAAGAGGGGTTGGGGGGGGGGGGGTAAGTGCATAGGGCCGGGACAGAGCGAAGGGCGCGGCCCCCGCGGGCGGCGCGGCGATGGGTCCCCTGCTGCTGCTGCTGCTGCTGGCCACCGGCGATAAGCACGGTCTGAATCCCGGAAATGAAGACGCAGATCGGGGTCAGCGAGATTAGGCTATCTGCCTCATCACTGCGTCTGCGTGTGTGTGTGTGTGTGTGTGTTTCGTCCTCAAACGGTCTTCAAGGACGTGCGACCCCTTGTTGTGTCCGCTGCAGGGGCTCGGCCTGGTGGGCCGGCGAGGCGAGCCCCCTCTGGGTCCGGGCCCAGCCCACCCTCGCTCAATAAGGCCGGGCTGTACATTATTTGTGTGCGGGCTCGCTCGGCCCGTCCGTGTCGATCCGCCGGAGAGGGGAGGGGGTGGGGGGCGGCCGCGGCAGGCCCCCCCACGTGGACGCGGGGGTCACGTGGACGCGGGCTGTCCACCCCCGTGCCGGCGCCTCCCTCCTCCCCTCCGCCCCAATCCTCCCACACACTTTTCCCTGCTCCCAGCCCAGGAGGCGTGCCTTGCCGGATGACGAAAGGGTCGAAAGGGTGCGTTTTCCCTCAACGGCATGTCTCACGTGTTTAAGCAAACTTTGCAGGTGTCTGGACACCGAGCGGATCTGCTGCGGGCCGAATGGATGGATGAATGAATGGCAGCACCCCTCTCCGCTCCCCCCGAATAGGTACAGCCCCACTGCTCTGCCGTCCCTCTGCGCTCTGGTCTCTACTCGCCGCCGCCAGTGAAAGCGATGGACGATACGGACGCGAGGGGATAGCGAGCAGGAGAGGAGTAGGGGAGGGGGGATCACGACCACGGGCCCTGACCGAAGGGTCGTCCGAGTAGGGGTAGCGTCTCGCTACGAGTGGGGCGCTAGAAGGGTGGGCGCCTTCTGAGGAAAATCCCAAATGTTACCTCTTT